TGGCTGGTCGTCTCCAATCATATCTTCTATCTGAGATGAGAGAGGGATTTTCGGTTGCCATCAGGCTGTTGACGTTCTTATTACACATTTATCGTTGACATTTACAGGACATGACAGACTCGAATGAAGAGAATAGTACGCCACGGTGTCAGGTGAGTTATACATTTCTAGTTTTCTGATATCACGTTATTGTTTGCAATGCCTGAGTTTGCTAGCTGGCAACATAGCTATAGGGGTAGTTTAAGCAAACCGCTAACAAACCGTAGCATACATGTACATGAACCCTTCTGAGGTATTGATTACTTGCTGTCAGAGATGGGGTCGTTACTAAAAAAAAGTAATATATTACATATTACATATTACTTTTTAAAAAAGTAATATATTACACTACTTCGTTACTCTCTAGATAAAGTAACTCGTTACTTTACTCGCAGGGCCGGCCCGCCCCTCCCTACAGGCAGATCACGCAGACTGCGGCGCACCTACAGTGTAAGCGCGCCACAGTTTTGCCTCTGCGAGACTCCACTTGCACCCCCAATTACTATTGCATTAAGGAAGACATAACACAAGTCTTTCTTTTTATATGCTCTAAAATAGGCTACCAGCCTACCACAACAAGCTAACAGTCTGTGAAACGTCAAGACACTAATGAATGAAACCAGTTCAAGACGCATTATTCTTATCATTCTTTATGAGCGCATAACGGTAAGGTATCTAATTACTTATTTATTTAGTATTCCATAACTTAGTAACAGAGATGGTCAAACTAAAGTGGTAGAGACAGAATTCCTACAATGAAGCGGGGCATTGAACTGTTCACCCGTGAGAGGGCGATCAACCAAAGAGAGCGAGCGGCCCCGTTGAGGGAGTTTACAGATGAAAAGACTCAGCCATGTTTATGCAGCACTGCACGTGGAGATGTGATCTCGCAAATCGCGCAGATTACATAGGCCTACATGTATATAAACCGATATAAACCTGCGGAGAAAATATATTTCTCTGTGCTCAAAAATGTTCAAGTGCGCGCTCAATCGCATTTTCTATGCTCAACATGTTTCATTGCGTGCTCAGGATAGAGGCACAAATATAACGCCATACACGAGAAGGTATCTCGTGCGAACGAGAAAATAAAACGTGGCCACGTTTTATTTATTTTTCTCTCTATGAACCCTCCAGGACTCCGTATGTTTGGAACATAGTAGCTTCATTTAAAATGTATATGGTAATAATAAAATGCATAATCTATTTGTATAATATAAGCAGTGCATGGGTTATAAGTGAGCCTGTGTGACAGAGTTATGGTACACACAACATGTGTATTATCCACCTTTTTTGTTTCCTTATTCCATTTAGCCTGATTTAATACAAAGAAAATAGCAACATTGGGTGCGCTTCAAAACCCGGGCCAGTCTGAGCCAGGTTGGCGTTGTATAAAAATGTTGTTGTGTCTGAATTTAAACTGATTTGTACTGTACCGTCTTTGTAAAGTTTAGCCCAACCATTATATAAGCTGATGAAGATTTAATGCCACACCTGCACTTCATTTAATATTGCTTCCCCAATAATGTTCATGTTAGACACAAACAGCAGCCTACGAGGTGTACATCTGGTGTATTTTTTACATCCTGCCACCCTACATATACTTTTTCGGGCTTTATACTTTCTAGTTCCCTATTACATGGATTACACAACACTAATTTTTACAAATAACAGTGCATCGCCTTTTGTATAGCTCAGAACAGTGTATGAGAAACAGCCAAAATACAGTATGTAACTTGTTAGCATAGTGTTTTATCACAAGGTCTAAAGTGTGATGGTTCATAAAAACAGCTAGGATGCAGGAACTGTAAGCTGCGAACGTGTTGGGAGTGCAGAATAAGAGAGAAATGGAACCTGAGAGAGGATGACATTAATTATTCATGTCGTGTTTAATAATAAAATGAAGTCATTCATACTCAATCGATTCAGATCAAAAAAAGTCACAGAGGCAGTTCACCTTCCATTCAGGCACGGAGAAGCTCTTTGTTCTAACATAAATCACTGAGGAAAAAAAACTGAAGGTAAAAAGCCTGCTGCTGCTCACAATATTAGCTGATTTAACACTGTGTTACTTCATCCTTAACATAACTCTTCTTTCATGAAGACAGTGAATATATTAATCGATGAAACTTGGGAGAGCAACTCTCTCAGGAGGGAACTTTGGCCATTTACATGTAAACAAAACCTATAACACACTACAGGAAAGGGAAAACCCAAAAAGTGAAGTAGGGTGCAATAGCTAGAAATTCAAAAAAAGTTAGCATTTTGCAAAGGACTTGAATGAGCTTACAGTACATTTCCTCAAACCCTGTAACTTGGAAGGTAGCTGTCTCCATTTTGGGGAACAGGAAGAACTTCAACAATATTTAATCAATGTATGGGCAACAGTGATCCACAATGACTATGACAAAGAAACTAATCTAACCAAGAATATTGTAATGACAAGACAGACAGCAGGTGTTCTGCACGTCACTGAACCTACCAAATCTCCCATGAACATGATATTGATTCCTTTTTAGCTCACATAAAAAGCAATCTCTTTGCTAAGACGTCTTTGGGAAACCCCCTCGCCCCTCTGAGCCTCCCTCCTTACAAACCAACACAGTCTCACTCCCTGATAATCCAATAGTGATGCTTGGTCAGGGTCCTTTGGCATGCAGTTGTGACGCGCCGAGTCTCCTGCAGCTTCATAAATGGACGCAAAGAGCTTTCAACTGATTGCAATGCATTCCCATCGGCGGCGGTATTTGGCGCTCAGGAAAGCACCGCATTGGTCCATGTCGGCGGCAGCTAAAGGCAATGTGAGCGTCCATTCCCATTGGATAACGCAGGATTTTACACCCGGAAGTAAGTATTCTCTTTACTGTCGATTGATTTTAAAGTGATATCTGCACTTCTCATCAACTCAAACACATCAGTTTATCCTTGTTAATTACACAACATTGATTGGTTTAAATTGTGTGCAATGCTTTTGTATTTTTCCCCTTCGATTCGGAGAAACAAATATGTTTTCTGAGTTTAGGATTACCGAAGACACTACACTACCCATAATCCTCAGCTATCATTCCGCTTTGCTCGACAAACCCCGTGATCAGTCCTCAAGCTCTGTGATTGGTTGACCTCCAACTGCATTCCATATGAAAAAAAGGTTCGTAAAAGATAAAATCATACTTTTATTGCTTTACTCTTTGAAAGTCATCACATGAATGCATTGTAATAAATGGTTTGGCTGCATTAAATATTACACATCTGTCGTATTTCTTTATTTATCTACAGAGATTGGGCTTCAGAATAGACCGGAAACTATTCTTTTACCGTTCTGTTTTTATTTCACAATAAAGTTAGTAGTAATATTTTGTTTTGATATTATTGTTTTTTATTAACTATTAGACCACTGGGTCGTGTTAAGACCATCTTTTCTGTGTTGCTGTGGGTTTTTTCCATCGCTTTTGTGTTACAAATTTCAAAACAATAACAAAATATATCCGTCGTAAACTTTCCTGCAATGTTAACTATGTTTAAGCACTTCTTTTAACCGATATTATACATATTTATTATACTCTTATAAGATATATGTAGATAGAATAAGAAATATGCAGAATATGACAATTTAATGGTGGAGGTACACACATATTGATAGATGTCTGTAATGCACTGTTGAGGAACCTGCGACCCAAGTTTTTCATTAATTGCATAACTACACTGTAGTTGTGTATATGATATTTCAATAAACCTTAGAAAATCTTGAAATCTTGAAAGGGATGTGCAAAATAGTCATTACAGTATATACAGTCTTTAATTAACTATTAGTAGAGAATAATGAGTAATGAATATGCTTTATAGCCTAGGGATCTGCAGATACATTTGTTTAGTCTTTTCAAGCACCCACTATCAAATATCTCGCCTGATTGTTGGCACTTGACAATCACCTTCACTGAATTTTACTCTACTTATTTAAGGGTTGTTTATATTTAACATCATTAATCAGAATCTGCAAAGTAACTAAAATAAATGTAGTGGAGTAAAAATACAAGGTTAACCTTAAAGAAAGCCCTCAGGATTATAAAAGACCCCCATCACCCCAGCCACAAACTGTTCTGTCTGCTGCCGTCTGGCAGGCGGTACCGCAGCATCCGGAGTGGACACAGACCACCAGACTCAGGGACAGTTTAATCCAACAGGCCATAAGACTATTAAACACCTGCAATTTTGAAATCAAATTTGTTTCTGTTTTATTGTGTTGCACTGTTGGAGGAGCCTGTGACCTAAGATGTCATCGTCATAACTACGCTGTAGCTATGTACCATGACCAATACAAGTGGGGGGGGGGGGTGGACACTTTCGAGTCCTGTTTTGGATAGTGTGCCGTCGATGGGTTTCATTCCATTTCAAAGTGCTGTTTGACACTCGGCGTAAACTTCGCGCACTGCCATTCCAACATCCAATCACAGAGCTTGAGGACTAATCACGGGGTTTGTCAAGCAAAGCGGCTGGTGTAGTCCTAAACGATAGCTGAGGATTATGGGTAGTGTAGTGTATTCTGTCATCCTAAACTCCGAAAACATATTTGTTTCTCCGAATCGAAGGGGAAAAATACAAAAGCATTGCACACAATTTAAACCATTCAATGTTGTGTAATTAACAAGGACAATCTGGTGTTTTTGAGTTGATGAGTAGTGCAGATATCACTGTAAAATCAATCGACAGTAAGGAGAATACTTACTTCCGGGTGTAAAATTCTCCGTTATCCAATGGGAATGGACGCTCACATTGCCTTTACCTGCCGCCGACATGGACGGATGCGGTGCTTCCCTGAGCGTCAAATACCGCCGCTGATGGGAATACATTGCAATCAGTTGAAAGCTCTTTGCGTCCGTTTATGAAGCTCAAGGAGACTCGACGCGTCACAATTGCGCGCCAAAGGACCCTGACCAAGCGTCGCTATTGGACTATCAGGGAGTGAGACTGTGTTGTACAAACAGAAAGGGCAGATAAAGTGCAACACCACCTCCAGGCCACTAGCTGCTGCTGTTCTTCTGAGGGAGACACCTCTGCCAGGGGCTGTAGGGCAGCGCCAGAAGCAGGAAGAGGATCCCACCCACGATTAGCACGGCCCCGGCACAGCCGACACACGACACTGACCAGGAGAGGTTGTGCTGCAGAGGGACCGTGTGGTCGCTGGCCAGGAAGGCAAGGACAGACTGGTGGAAAACAATCAGAGAGAGAAGCACCAGGACACCTGCGGAAGACAAACAATTAGCAACCTCTAGCATTCAAAACAAGAAAGATCTTGTGTACTAAAATCCCCAAGGTTGCCCTGTTTTGATGCCTTCACTGACCTGACATAATAAAGCAGACAGACGCTGGTTTGAGGAAGAAAATTAATTCTTTACTGAGAGCCATGGTGATGCATATGGCCCCCATCACCATCAGGAACAGGCTGAACAGGGCCAACATGGCTGCCGCTACGTTCAGATCTGCACGGGAAAGAAGGTAGTGTTGTTATCATAAACTGTTACATTCCTTGTACTGTATAAGGAACATAGAAAACAGAAAGCAGTTTTTAGGACGAATAAAGGTATTCAGATTCGGATTTTGATTTGCTGCAACACAATTCAACATAAATCTTGTGCATTGCATTGACCAATCAAATATGCGCCAATGCATATTCCTGGTGGACTCATTTGTATAACAACTGGTAAGCTTGCAATTGTTAAGATAAAAAAAAGGTAATAATTCCAAGCTGTAAAATGTGCTAACTAGCTCTGCTCAGTTTTGGTATTTGATCAACTTAAAATCTCTAAGATATATTTTAACTGGACTTCCTAATATCCTGCCCCTTTTTTCAATATCTTCAGTCTGAAAGTTGCTAAAAACAGATATAATATTTACTGTATGTAAGGATACATTTAAGCATCTCTGTAGATCTATGCATAGAAGAGCATTATGGGTAACCATTGGCCATGGACGCTCGCAGAGGAGCTGATGCATCAAAGCTTCCAAAATGTTAACAATCAAAATCAAAATGGGTTCGTCCAATCATATGAAAAAGAGACAAAAGAGAATCGCTAACCCTAACCCTGAATGAAAAGCTTGCCCTCAGAACTCATGATAATAATAATAATAATAATAATAATAATAATAATAATAATAGTAATAATAATATGATGTCAGCTGGTTGTTGACAAGGTCTCCCACCGCAGTACATTTTTTTAAGTTAATTTATTATACTGTAGTAACAAGAATGTTGTCGTTGTATTTCATCGGATAAGATAGTGTGTCATTTCAATCTTAAAAGAAGATTTAAATAAAGTAAGACACAATAAATTATAACAAATGAAATCCAGCATGACAGCGATGTGGCACCAGCAAACAATGACATTGTAATGTAGTCTGTCTTTCTTCATTCAGCGTAGGGTACTGTGGGATCTTAATACATTATAGAGCTGCCAGTGAAATGAGAGGTTAGACGGCAGCTTGGAGACACTTGAACGCAGCGTAGGCGGAATAGATTTAAAACACTCACAGAGCAGACAATGGCCAACCTGAAAGAGTGCAGCGAGGAGGTGAAGGGAGACAGAGAGAAAATGACAGGGATGGATCGTGGGAGAGACGACAGATAGGGGACTGAAGAGCAAAGAAAGAGCATCAGACGAGGGAAAGGGCAAAGAGGGTGCAGGGAGGCAGCGAAAAGGAGAGGTGGAGAAGAGGAAAAGGAATAAAGAAAGTAGGGAGTGGGCGGAAAGGTTGGACAGCGGATCGAAAAGGCCATAAGAGCAGCATGACTCACTTTTCCTTGTTGTCTTTTGAAACAGCACAGCATTTTCCCCCGTGGTGAAGAACTTGAAGTAGGTGCAGTTAGATGCTAGAGGGAATAAGATGCAGGAAAGAAACAGGTACCATAAATAAACAATCATTGTCAGATAATCTGTAGTTGCAGATAATCTTGATGAACAGCATAATAGCATTCAAGTCACCAATTCTCTCAGCTCTGTTTCAGCAATTCTTCATCAAACATAATCAGCCGTGAATCACAATGACAATCTCAAGGTGACAATCCAACGCTTCCTGCACTAATCGCATTGTGCCGTCCTGTTGATGTGTTACAGTAATTAGACTTTGGCCGTCAAATGGAATGTGACACCTCTATCTGTTCCCCTCACACGTTTGCACAAGCGCAAGCAAAACACACACACACGTCACTCTTAATTAGTGTGATCAAAGCCACATCCTCAGAGTATTCAAAGGTTGTTTGCTTGCCCTCAACAGCTATCAGTGTTACAGCGTTGAGAGGGGCTCTGCACAAATCCTTTCAACACATATTCAAATCAAATGAGGGGTCTCTGCAACCGGCCAGTCAGACAATCATTTGACTTTTCTCTGTACACCTCTTTCTATGAATGGCTCATGTTGTTCTATCGTGGGCCCCTGAGTCATTAACAACCACTCAGAGTGACAAAGTGTAAAATCTCAACTGAATAGTCTGAGGATATGTCACTTTACTGAATAATGTAGCTTAAATTGATTTACTATTAATACACAGGTGTTACACCCAAAAACAGTTACCACTTCGCTGTGAATGAATGACTAGTGACCAAATACGATAATATGTAGATGTTGTCAATCTATACTTCTTTAATTAGGTTAAAAGAACAGCAGCAGGCCTCTTCCAACCAATGATTAGCACTGGTATAATACTAATTTAATGGACTGATCACATCCAACTACAGGACACTATTTCACACATTGAACCACAAAGCCAGTAATCTCTCTGACTTGTTGTAGATGAAAGTGATTGCAAATCAAATGGGTGTCCTGTCTGAAACCTATGATAAACATACACAGATCTCTTGGTGGACATTTCCCAGTCTGACTCTGTTTTTGATGGTCATTCTTTGAAGGGAAGCTCAAACAGGTGAGTCATGGAAACTGACTAAACTACAAATTGCTTTAATAGTCTTTTTTCACACTGGACTATGCTACAAAATATGACGTGAGGGGATGAGATCATGTTAGTGATTTTTTTTTTGGTAACTTTTTCAAACTGTTAATCTTTTTCTATAGCTTTTTTTTTGTATTTTATTTAAATATTGTATTGATTGTGAAATACCCTTTTCTACTTCTTCTATATTTAAATATGGTTTGTCTTTGTTTTATGATTAGTACACCTCTTGGCCAGGTCTTCTATCCTTTTTCCTCCTTCTTCTATCGGTTTCTGACCTCCATTAAACTAAATGTAAAATAAAGTTGATCAAGAAGCAGAACTTTGACAACTGTGAATACACATACAAAATACTCGTCAATACAAATCACCAAGAAATATGGCTGTCGATCCCCTAGATTACTTCGGAAATCCAAATGCTGTATCCTTTAACTTGACCCATCAAATTTGTGGACTTGCTCTTTCACTCGTGTATCAATGACTCAGTGAGTAAGTCAGTCAGAGCTGTCACTCAGCCATCCATCAACCAGTGAAGCAAGGTTGTTTTCCAGACAGAGAATCAGGTAGACCTCTCATTCATGCTAACTCGCTCCCTCAAACAGAGCAGTCCAACAAGCCTAAGAGTTTGACAAACGTCCAGTCAGCCCGCTGGTCTGTCAATCATCAGATAAGAACTCCACTAAACTCTAGGTGCTAGAGGTTATTAGAGAATTTAGCTTATTTTCAGGATATAAAATAAATTGGAGTAAAAGTGAAGCCATGCCACTGAACTGTCAGACTCACTCTAATCACTTAAGCTCTGCTCCTTTTGTTTGGAAAGCTGATGGATTGAGATACTTGGGCATAAACATCAGATCATCAATTACTGTAACAAGACTTTCGAAATTAATGGTCCAGGCTTACTTAGAACTATTAAAGATGACTTGAGAAGATGGACTTCTTTACCCTTATCGCTGTGGGGAAGGGTGGATGTGTTAAAAATGAATGTCCTACCAAGATTGGCCTATATAATATCCTCAATTCCCCTTCAAATCCCACAATATTGGTTTAAAGAAATAAACTATATTCTCTCAATTCATATGGAAGGATAAAAACCACAAATCAACCATAAAAAGTTGTCTATGCCGAGGAGAACAGGTGGATTGGGGGTACCCAATTTTTACTTATATTATCTCTCATATAATTCCAGATTCCCTATAGTATGGGGTTATGGAGCGACACCGAAAAAAGCTAACTGGGATTGGCTGGAAGGACAAATAATTAAAGAAAACAATAAATCAATATCTTTAAATTCATTATGGGACTGCCCCAAATCCAGTCTGAATAATTCATTAATTCAATTTTCTATCAGTGTGGTTAAATATGTACAAAGGAGGCTAGGTAGACTCAAAAAGATGGATCAAACACTCTCGGGCCTATGCTGGCATGGTTGTGCGGAAGTGGGTATCCTTTTACATTGTCTTTGGCCCTGTCCGGCTGTAAAATCTCTTTGTGACGTAGTTGGAGATACACTCGCTGAGATCCCGATCAATGGCATAAAATCAAAATGTGCAAGTAAACTCATAGCCCTAGCATGCCTTTGAACTAAACGCCTCGTTCTTATGAACTGGAAATTCAGAAAGCCCAACTGCTTCAATTTAATATGGCTGGAGGACTTCCTAAACATCTTAAGTATGGAAGAAGCTGCTTTCTCCCTGTTATATTTGGTTAAGCCAGACAACAGGCTTTGGGATAAGATAAGGGCTTTCCTGGGGGGTATACTACGAAGCAGGATTTTCGCTTAGCCGGCTAAATTCAGGGAAAACTCCGGCTTTCCGGTCCTACGAAGCTGGTTCTCTTTTTAGCAGGCTAGATCTCCATGGTAACTTGTGCTTAGCGGCTAACCTGGTCGGGACCAGGTTAGGTTGCAGGCTAAGAGCTCAACTCAGTGAAAGCACTGCCTGCTGACCAATCAGAGCTCAGTGTGCGGAGTTTAAAGCGATCAAGTCATATTACAGGAGAAAGGAAATACAGAAAAGCTGCCGTTGCAGGAAAGACGGCCAGCAAAAATCACCGACTGTGTGAACGTGAACATTAATAGAATATCACCTCCCATCTTCAGAGCAATCTGACTATTATAACATTAGCGTTAAGAAAGCTTACTTAAATATATGCCACAACATAAGTAACCGGATCAGAGTAACATTAAGTACAGTCCGCGGCATATCACTTCATAATGTATCATATATTTTCTTATCTGAGTCAGCTGAGCCCTATCTGGCCGTGCAACACTCACAGTGTCACATACTGTATGCAGAAGTATTATTTTAAGCAACACATTAAGTTGACGAAACACTCGAGACAAATGTAATTAAAGTCAGATCGTGTTTTAGACGGGGCAGTGATATCATAAACCTGTTAATGTACGCATTCAAACACTTTTTCTTTTGCCAGCTGTATTCACCTTGCAGGTGCAGCTATATGGCTTTTATCCTGGATAAAGTGTTTAAGTCATGGATGTTTAAAGTTTAACTTCTTCATATTTGACTAGTATTAAAGTTAACTTTTCATTCAGGAAGTATGACGTTGCGCTGTCAGTACGCTTCTCCATGTTTGTGATTGGTCGAATGTTCCAAATACCACCCCTTTCATGTGAACGCGCACCTAACTAGATAGGACACGGCTGGCTTGAGCGATCCACTTGATAACCAGCGTCGTAGTACAGTTTAGCGAGAGCGCGTATGTTTTGGATTAGGCCAACCGGCTAACTCAAACATATCCAGGTTAGGTTGAACCAGCTTCGTAGTATAGGCCCCTGGACTCAAACCATCTCGGCTGCCAACAATAAATTATAATAATATTAATAAATAAATATAAATAAAGAGAAATAAGCTATGAAGAAACAGAAAAATAATGGTAATAATAATGAAAGAAGTGAAATTAAATGGGAAATGGATGAATAGGTGAATGAATCAGAAATGGAAGAAATGTGTATGTGTGCATATATATATATTTATTTATTTATTTGACTATTTATCTATTTATTTATCTATTATACATTTTTTTGTTTTATAATAATAATGAGGAAACAATAAAGTATATCTATATTGTGAAGCAAATCATGCATAAATACAACGCCATATGCATACATAAAATGTAACTGACAATGTAATCCCCCTACCCTCCCACCCTTCATGTTATTGTCCTGTCCTGTTTGTGATGTGTGTGAGCTATGTCCTTGTCCTTATGTTTTTGTCTTTGAAAATGTCTAATAAAATATAAATGTTAAAAAATAAATAAGAACTCCATCCCTCACACAGACCAGTTGCAAGGGCTTAGCCAGCATGTTGATGTTTTTGTTATTGTTCCTGTTTTCATTGTTGTTTCTCTCATTTCAGTCTCAGCTTTCCTGCCCTTGATTGAACCCCACCTGCTTCCCTTCCCTAATTAGCCTCACCTGTGCCCCATTATCATCTCTCCCTCTGTCTACTTAGTCTGCATCCACATTCCCTTCAGTGCCAGTCCGTCTTAGTTATTCCTAGCGTTCCAGCAGTGTTTTTCTTAGTATCTGATTCCACGTGTACCTGACCCAGCTTCGTGTCCTGACCCGGTCCCTGTCTACTCCTCGTCTGTTTTGTTAGCCTTATTGACTGATCTCCCGTGTACCGAACCTTGGATATAAAGACCTTTTTTGCATCCTAATCCTCTGTCTCTGAGTCGTGCTATTGAGTCCTCCACTTGTGTTCATTCAGTCGTTACAGTACGAACTGGCCAGAACCATGTACTCAGCCGACTCTGAGATTTTGCGGTCCGCTATTCAATCCCAGGGATTGAATAGCGTCGTCTGCCAGGGAGTAAGAGAATTGTCAGAGCGTCATGAGGGTTTCCAGTCCTCCATCGGCAGCCGGGTTTGCCAGCTGGCAGATCAGATCCAGCAGCTGGTGGCACATCTCAATCCACAACGCTCTGCTACTCCGCTTCCTGCGTCGGATCCGGCTACAGCTCCCGGTCCTGTTCCTGCCACCGTGCCGACACCGCTGCCTTCGGTTCCTCACCTCTCCAGACCAGAGCGTTTGACTCGGATAACTGTCGTGCGTTCCTGGTCCAGTGTGGGTTACACTTCGAGCTGCAAGCATCTTCCTTCCAGTCTGAACGGGCTAAGGTAGCCTACATCGTTTCCCACCTCACCGGCAGAGCGGAGGCGTGGGCTACGGCGGAGTGGGCTCGAGATTCCCCAGTCTGTAATTCCCTGAGAGGTTTTACAGAGACTTTAAGCAAAGTATTTGATCACACAACTCCAGGCAGGGAAGCAGCGAGAGCTCTAATGGATTTACACCAGAGAGGGAGGCGTGTCTCCGACTACGCCGTGGAGTTCCGCACTTTGGCTGCAGACAGCGGCTGGAATGATTCATCCCTCTTCGACGCTTTTCGCCATGGGCTGTCTGTCCCCATCAAGGACCAGTTGGCTCCTCTAGAGCTTCCCTCTGACCTGGATAGTTTCATTGCTATGGCAATAAGAATTGACACTCGCCTCGTAGAGAGAGAAAGGGAGAAGTCGAGAGCTGTGTTTTCTCCGCCCGGCCAGAGAGGGCAGTCTCAGACCAGTCCTTTTTTCCCCAAGCAGCGTTTCCAGACGACCGACTCTCCAGCGCCGCCTACTGCCCAGGAGGAACCCATGCAGTTGGGAAGAGCAAGGCTGACTCCTGAGGAGAGGGGAGGTGCATTTACTGCTCACAGAGGGGTCACTTTGTAGCCAAATGCTCCAGCTGTTTTCCAGGCTCTGGTTAATGATGTTCTCCGTGACATGCTCAACCAGTTTGTTTTTGTCTACCTCAACGACATTCTCATCTTTTCTCCGGATGAGACGACCCACATTCAACATGTCCGCCAGGTGTTGCAGCGTCTCTTGGATAATCTACTCTTTGTGAAGGCAGAGAAGTGCGAGTTCCACGTCTCCACCGTCTCTTTCCTGGGATTTGTCATTTCGGAGAACAGCATTCAGATGGACCCATCAAAGGTCAGTGCAGTCACTGAGTAGCCTACACCTTCCAATCAGAAACTCATGCAACGATTTTTGGGCTTTGCTCATTTCTACAGACGTTTCATCAGAAACTATAGTTCTGTGGCTGCCCCACTGCATGCTTTAACCTCTCCCAAGGTGAAGTTCCAGTGGTCCCCCCTAGCAGAACAGGCTTTCCGGAGGCTTAAGAGGAGCTTCACTTCGGCCCCAATTCTCACGCTTCCTGACCCACTTCAGCAGTTTGTGGTTGAGGTGGACGCTTCAGATGTGGGCGTTGGGGCAGTCATCTCTCAAAGGTCGAAGAAAGACAACAAGCTCCACCCCTGTGCTTTCCTGTCTCGGAAACTCTCCCCAGCCGAGAGAAACTATGATGTGGGTAACAGGGAGCTGTTGGCAATTAAGGTGGCTTTGGAGGAGTGGCGCCACTGGCTGGAGGGAACCGAGCACCCTTTCCTAGTCTGGACCGATCATAAGAACCTTCAGTACATCAGATCTGCAAAACGCCTCAACTCCAGACAAGCCAGGTGGGCCCTATTCTTTACTCGATTCAACTTCACCCTGTCATACCGTCCCGGTTCTAAGAATGCTAAAGCTGATGCTCTATCCCGCCTGTTTGATTCCGATCCAGCTCCTTGCACTCCCTCACTAATCATTCCCCCCTCTTGTGTAGTGGGGGCAGTCACATGGGACATTGAGGAGAGGGTCAGGCAGGCGAGTGCTAATGTTTTGGTTCCCGATGGTTGCCCACAGAACCGGTTGTTTGTTCCTGACCCTCTTCTCTCACAGGTCATCCACTGGGCACATACTTCCCTCCTCTCCTGCCATCCTGGCGTTCGCCGCACCATGTTCTTCATTAAGCAGCGGTTCTGGTGGCCCTCCATGGAGAGGTCGGTCAAGGAGTACGTGGCAGCCTGTTCAATCTGTGCCCGGAACAAGACTTCCCGTCAGCCCCCTTCTGGTCTTCTGCGCCCGCTCCCAGTGCCACATCGCCCCTGGTCTGACATCTCGTTGGACTTCGTCACAGGGTTGCCGCCGTCTCAAGGTAACACCACTATTTTGACAATTGTGGATAGATTTTCGAAGATGGTCCACTTTGTCCCGCTGCCTAAGTTGCCATCTGCCAGAGAGACAGCAGAGGCAGTGTTGTTCCATGTTTTCCGTCTCCATGGTTTCCCTAGGGATGTTGTGTCAGCGGGCCCACAGTTTACCTCACAGTTTTGGAAGGCTTTCTGCTCACTCATCGGTGCCACAGTCAGCCTCTCTTCTGGATATCATCCGCAGTCTAACGGCCAGACGGAGCGGCTGAATCAGGAGCTTGAGACCTGTCTACGCTGCCTGGTGTCTCAGAACCCTGCCACGTGGAGCACGCATCTTATTTGGGTGGAGTACGCACACAACACTTTGCCTAGTTCTGCTACTGGTATCTCACCTTTTCATTGTGCCTATGGATACCAACCACCGTTGTTCCCCGACCTGGAGAAGGAGGTCAGTGTTCCATCTGCCCATGCCCTCATCCGCCGATGTCATCGCACCTGGAGCCGGGCCCGCCAGGTGCTACTACGGAGTTCAGCCCGTTATAAAAGGATGGCCGATCGCCGACGTATCTCTGCTCCTGCCTACCAACCTGGACAAAGTGTGTGGCTCTCTACTTGAGACCTGCCCCTTCGAGTGGAGTCTCGCAAACTGGCTCCTCGTTTTGTGGGTCCCTTCCCGGTATCCAAGGTCATCAATCCTGGGGCAGTGCGGCTTCGACTACCTCGATCCTTGAGAGCCTATCCTACATTCCATGTGTCACACATCAAACCGGTTAATGTGAGTCCACTGGTTCTCACCTCCAGACCCCCTCCCCCCCCCCGGTTTATTGATGGTGGATTGTATATACTGTGAAACCCCTCTTGGCAGTTCGACCTAGATGCCGGGGACGTCAGTACCTGTTTGACTGGGAGGGCTACGGTCCTGAGGAGAGGTCATGGGTCTCCACCAGTAATGTCAGTAAGGACCTCATCCAAGACTTTCAACGCCAACATCCTGAACTACCTGGGACGTCAGGTGCCGTCTCTAGAGGGGTGGGGGGGTACTGCAAGGGCTTAGCCAGCATGTTGATGTTTTTGTTATTGTTCCTGTTTTCATTGTTGTTTCTCTCATTTCAGTCTCAGCTTTCCTGCCCTTGATTGAACCCCACCTGCTTCCCTTCCCTAATTAGCCTCACCTGTGCCCCATTATCATCTCTCCCTCTGTCTACTTAGTCTGCATCCACATTCCCTTCAGTGCCAGTTCGTCTTAGTTATTCCTAGCGTTCCAGCAGTGTTTTTCTTAGTATCTGATTCCACGTGTACCTGACCCAGCTTTGTGTCCTGACCCGGTCCCTGTCTACTCCTCGTCTGTTTTGTTAGCCTTATTGACTGATCTCCCGTGTACCGAACCTTGGATATAAAGACCTTTTTTGCATCCTAATCCTCTGTCTCTGAGTCGTGCTATTGAGTCCTCCACTTGTGTTCATTCAGTCGTTACACCAGTCAGCTATCATCAAACTTAGAGAGTCATCCACCCAACTGGTCACTGTTTCTGTGAGTCACCTCCGGGTAGTTCAGCAGGTCCGCAGCTCTCTCTATTTGGGTCGATTTCGGACACCCACAAAGACTTTGTGCAGCCCTTCCACAGGCCATAGTGAGCTGTCAGACATGTCTGCAAAAAAGATCAAAGAGGTTTTTCAGCATTCATATTATTATTATGAATAATTATTTACCATCCCTCATGGTGCATCGAGACACCAGTGATTCATTTCTAAGAGGAAACACTGTTTATTTGTGTTTTTGTCCCCATGTCTTTTATCTGCATAAACATGTCAGGTCTGGTTGATAATATAAGGGACAGTTAGTAATCAGCAAATACATTTTTTTTTATTGAAATCTGAGGAAAATTGGCAATGTGAATGAACCTGTTTCCATCCACTACCAGTATTTTAATATTAGGAGTTGGTTCATCAAGCAGTTGATGGGGCAAATCTTTTGTTGGAAACCATAGAAGAAGAAGAATTTACAACAAGACGTGATCAAAACAACAATAGTCAAACCTCAAACTGTTAAAATGATGAATATAAATTTGCTAAAATTGTCATGGGAGCCTGCCGGCGCCAGTCTCAGGACACCTCCACTCTGAGGACACCTCCACTCTCAGGACAGGAAGCTGTGCACGCTAAGAATTACAAAATAAAATCGCCACTATCAGTACAGCGCCAACTTCCGAACAGGAAATGCACACTAATACAAAATAAAATCGTACTGACACTTATTATAAACATATATATATCTATATATAGATATATATATGTATTTATATAAACAACGACATCTTGTATTTTAGTTACACCCGCTAGACCAGGGGTTCCCAACCTTTTTTCCCAAGAGCCCACCCAAATGACTCTTGTTGGAAGTTGCTCCCCCCTCCCCCCCACACGCAACAGCGGTAATTAAAGTTTAAAAGTCTAAAAAATGCTACAACTACTGTCACCAACTGGATGAATGTGAAGTATTTTGTTAAAGGAGGATGAAAGCATAATTAAGGAGCACTATTGGAGTGACTTTGATGGTTATTGGACTCAGGCTTAATTCATTTGGATTCCCGCTGTATGAAGAAATTAAAGGACGGCGCAAGTGGAAACAATTCACAAAGGGATTAAACTGTTTAAAACACATGCTCAAAGTAAGCCAGATTTTGCCGATGTGTTTATGTGGATTCAAAAGTCGTAAATAACTGTGACAAATAATCCAACTGAAACTGGCATGGACAATGACTATGTTTTAAAAATGCGCTTATCCAGAAAAGCCAGGTTTGGACACTTTACGGGCAGAAGAAACATTTATATTAAAGAAAGAATTATATATTTCTGTCTTTTTATTCCTTTAATAGCTACTAACTTGAATTTGTATTCAAATTAATTAATCACTTATTTTTTATATTTTATTGTAATGTAGAGACAAGACTTGTAGTGACAATCATGTATTGCGTTAAAATTATGTGTAAAAATAAAAATAAAGTCTAAATATGATATTTGGCCTCAAATCATCTGAGGCCTGGCGCCCCCCCCTGCAATCTTTGGCGCCCCCCAAGGGGGGTGCTCCCCCCAGGTTGGAAACAACTGCGCTAGACAACAGTGGAGGGTTCGAGAAACAACCGTGTTTGCCGGGTGCCGCGCGGCGGAGGTGGGGAGGTTCCAGCCCGGAACCTCTACCCCGCTGCGGGACCTGTGGTGGGACCCCTGAGTCAGACGGTGCGTCTTGGTCACGCTTAATATCGGCCGGCCTGGGAAGGAAGAGACACGCAGAGTGGGGGAAGTCCCCCACCGCAACGCAGCACACCCTCCCGGCCATCAGAGTCGAACCCGCAGTTCGGAGGAACCGACTGCCAGAGCACCGGCACTAGGCCGGTCCGGCGGAGGCCCTCCGATGGGGGGTCGTGTTTGCCATTCGATCAGTGAGAGGATAGGAGAAAAATGCAACAAAAAATGTCAAAATCCGTTAATATATGGATGAGTGGGGGGGGAACGGCTGGACACAGGCCGTGGGGGGACACCCGAGACTGAGCAGTGTCCCCGGTAGAAGGAGCCGGGTGAAATAGCCAAAAAATAGGAAAATAGGGGGAAAAGTGAAAAACAAGTCTCCGAAAATAGGCACTCGTGAGCAGAGATGGGGTCGTTACTAAACAAAAGTAATATATTACATATTACTTTTTAAAAAAGTAATATATTACACTACTTCGTTACTCTCTAGATAAATTAACTTGTTACTTTGCTCGTTACTTTACCCGTTACTTTACTCGCAGGGCCGGCCCGCCCCTCCCTACAGGCAGATCACGCAGACTGCGGCGCACCTACAGTGTAAGCGCGCCACAGTTTTGCCTCTGCGAGACTCCACTTGCACCCCCAATTACTATTGCATTAAGGAAGACATAACACAAGTCTTTCTTTTTATATGCTCTAAAATAGGCTACCAGCCTACCACAACAAGCTAACAGTCTGTGAAACGTAAATACACTAATTAATTAAACCAGTTCAAGACGCATTATTCTTATCATTCTTTATGAGCGCATAACGGTAAGGTATCTAATTACTTATTTATTTAGTATTCCATAACTTAGTAACAGAGATGGTCAAACTAAAGTGGTAGAGACAGAATTCCTACAATGAAGCGGGGCATTGAACTGTTCACCCGTGAGAGGGCGATCAACAAAAGAGAGCGAGCGGCCCCGTTGAGGGAGTTTACAGATGAAAAGACTCAGCCATGTTTATGCAGCACTGCACGTGGAGATGTGGTCTCGCAAGTCGCGCAGATTACATAGGCCTACATGTATATAAACCGATATAAACCTGCGGCGGAAACCCCTCTTGTCTGTCAGTGAGTGTGATTATTTTATAAAAGTAACGAAGTAACGCGTGTCGGGGCAATGTTAGTAACTGTAGTGTGATTACTGAATTATAAAAGTAACGCGTTACACTACTCCGTTACCGACAAAAGTGATATTATTACAGTGACGCGTTACTTTGTAACGCGTTACACCCAACTCTGCTCGTGAGGCAGGCAGAGTCCCCTGTCAACTCCCGTTACATTCCTCCATGTTATCATGTGAGTGGAAAATGGCTAACCCCTCGATTCCACGGGGTCCGTCTGCGTCGCGTCACGGCTGCGCCGCGGTTTTGGTCTGGCCTCCTCCCGCGTCATACCCTGCCGGGCGCGTTTCAGAAGCATTTCAGAAGCGGAGCGTCTTGCCTGCCGGCTCGCAGTTTTTGTTGATTTGGGCATATTTCCTGGACAGGCTAATTTGTACAGACAAAGTTAATAATAATTGTAATATTCCAGTTATAAACGACATGAATCAAAGATGTGTTGCTGTATTTTAGTGGTAAAAAAATGCATTCATCATCATCATAATTATTCTATATATTTAATTTACACAGTGCCTGTAAACCGGAGGAGAACGCTGGCATTTCTCCTCCTACTTGAAAGACTACGGAGGGATAGGGTCTGGAAAATTAGTTTATTTTGGGGATGGGCCGGAAGCTCTGACCGGTCCACTTCCTGCCCGGTGCCTCTGCAACGCCTCGCGTCGCGTAGAAAAATAGACTTGAATCCTATTTTGAGCGGAACCCAAAGCCAAGACGCTTCTGGGACGCTTCTGAGCCGTAACGCAGCGAGTCTGGTGGAATAGCACCCATTGACTAGAGTGGCCGCGATCTTTGCGAACGCCGTGGCGCAGCCGTAACGCGGCCGTAACGCAACGCAGACGGACCCGGTGGAATAAGGGGTAGGGGTAAGTCAACTTTTACGAGAACCAGGCTGGGGGGGTCAAAAGGGCTTGACCAAGGCCGACCCAAAGTGCATGGTGAGCGGACTCATCACCTCTGTGATGAGTCTCCATTGTGATTTTAAAACTTCCATGAGACGAGTCCATCGCGGGGCGGGGAAAAAAACGTGTTCGTCAGAATCGTCACCTCCTGTACTGAGAGTGGAGGTGTCCTGAGAGTGGAGCCTGCACCGGAACTGTCCTGAGAGTGGAGGCCTGCAGGCAGACCCCTCTCAAAATTGTAGCAAAAGAGAAGCCCGTTTTAATGTTTCTATTTGTTGTGTGTATATATATATTGTTTGGATGCTGAAGTCACATCCTTCAAGTAAGACATCTTAAATAACTTAGTCTGTTTCCTATACATGTTGTTGCATTTTGCTTCTAAATACCAACCAAGCATAAATCTGTTGAATATTTTAGAAAATAAAACCTTCTACTGAGGGTATTTTATGTTAGGTAAAAATGAACATAGAAACAGATGCACTCAAACGAACTTAGTGAAATAGCAGCATTCTGGATTAAGGATACGAACAAAGGCCCTGGTTAGTAAATCCAATAATTCACCTGGTTGTTATAGAAACTCTTTGACGGTGACAGCTCCACCCAGAACTCTGTCCCCACCCCAAGGACAGTCAGCACAACGCCTACAATTGCCACGAAGAAAGCCAACTTGATCTGGTGACAGAACACAAAACCAAGCAGTGTGCCATGTTTAATGAATATGCAGGAATCATTTAAAATAACACACTTGCAATATTACATGCTCATAGTTGTAAGCTTTATTAAAATACATATAGCCTGCTTGCAATATTATTTTCTCTGGCACTTCCAACAACGATGCCCTTGGCGTCATTAAATGTCTGTTTTTAAAGCTCACCTATTATGCTATATTTGAACAACATATTATAGGGCCATAATTATACAAAACATGTCTCTGAAGTGTTTTGCTAAAAATACCAAACAGTTAAACTGTTAAATGTGGATTTTAAATTACTGTCTAAAATGCTCGCTTTACGATTGGAAACCGTGTTACCAACCATTATCTCTCCCGATCAAACCGGCTTCATCAAAAATAGGCACTCATTTTTTAACTTAAGACGACTTTTTAACACAATCTACCAACCTTCTGCAAATTCTGTACCTGAAGCTGTGATATCTTTAGATGCAGAAAAGGCATTTGATCGTGTGGAGTGGAGGTATCTTTTTCACACCTTGGAGAAATTTGGCTTTGGAAAGAACTTTACCTCATGGGTGAAGCTATTGTACTCCTCTCCCCTAGCTTGAGTGAGAACAAATAATACGCACTCTGAATATTTCCCTCTCCACCGCTCCACCAGGCAGGGTTGTCCCTTGAGCCCTCTCTTATTTGCCTTAGCTATTGAGCCCCTCTCCATCGCTCTTCGCTGTGACTCCCGCATTAGAGGTATTTTCAGAAATGGGGTAGAACAGAGAGCTTCTCTTTACGCGGATGACCTTCTTCTTTATGTCTCTAATTTATCTGTGTCTGTCCCTGCAGCTCTCTCTATCCTTAGCTCATTTGGTGCTGTATCCGGTTATAAACTCAATTTAAGTAAAAGCGAATTGTTCCCTTTAAATAGAGCGGCGCGTGATTTCCCTCTACATAGTCTACCATTTAAAATTGCACTACACAGCTTCACTTACCTCGGGATCCAGGTGACCGATACATTTAAAGATCTTTATAAAGCTAATTTTGCCCCCCTTTTGTCCCGCGTACAGGAAGACTTCGACCGTTGGTCAGTGTTAAATCTGTCTCTGGTTGCCCGAATTAACTCTATAAAGATGAATATACTCCCCACATTTCTATATTTATTTCAATGTGTGCCCATTTTCCTACCTCAAACTTTTTTTCGTAAAACTGACACTATTATTTCTAACTTTATTTGGAACAAGAAAACCCCAAGGATACGCAAGCAATTTTTACAGAGACCAAAGGCGCGGGGTGGACTTGCTCTGCCGAATTTGAGGTTCTATTATTGGGCTACAAACCTGAGAATAATACAGTCCTGGCTGCAGTCTGACTCACAGCATTCTCCGCCTGTTTGGCTTGAAATGGAGGCTGCTTCCTGTAGTCCAGTATCTCTTTCAGCATTGGCTCACTCTCTCATTAAGACCCCCTCCTCTGCTTACACTAAAATTTTAATTGTCAAAGCAACCTTGAACATTTGGAATCAGTTCAGACGTTTCTTTGATCTCCAAACATACTCTACACTAGCCCCTGTAACTGCAAACCATGTGTTTCCTCCATCCTTAGTAGATGGCGCATTTACTATTTGGTTTAACCAAGGCGTTAAAACATTCAAAGACCTTTATATTCACAACACATTTGCCTCTTTCCAACAGCTATCTGACACATTTGCACTACAGGCAACATTTCTTCAGGTATCTACAGATTCGCAGTTTTGTTAATAATAGATTTCCTCAGTTTCCTAATCACCCAGCTGATTCGCCGCTAGACGCACTCCTTAGGCCGTTATCTACTCTGAAGGGAATGATGACGTGTATTTACGCTCAGATTTACTCTCTTCGTTTGGTTACCCTGAACTCCATTAAATCTCTTTGGGAAACAGATCTTGGGGAGGAGATTTCAGAAGAACTTTGGGAAAAAGCCCTTGCTAATGTACACAAATCTTCTATTTGTGCTAGACATGGACTGATTCAGTGCAAAGTAGTACATCGCACACACTTCACTAAGCTTAGGCTCTCTAAAATATATAAAGAAGTGGACCCAACTTGTGACAGATGTAGACAAGCACCGGCGAGTCATGCACACATGTTCTGGTCTTGTCCGGTCTTACACTCTTATTGGACTGACATCTTTAGATCACTGTCAGAAATTACTGGAAAACCGGTCACTCCTAATGCCATGACTGCACTGTTTGGTGTAACCCCACCCACATGCCCACTCTCTTCTCTGGAGACAGCCTACATAGCCTTTGTTACCTTACTAGCCAGACGCCTGATATTGCTCATGTGGAAGTCTCCAACATCCCCTTCACACACCTCGTGGTTAAAAGAAGTCCTAAATTCAGCCAAACTCAAGAAAATAAGGTGCATAGTGAGGGGCTCCTTGGGGAAATTCCATAAGATGTGGAACCCCTTCTACAAGTATATACGGGAGCTGGACATGCCGGATGTCTCTGTACAATAGGGTGATGGACCTGCGGTGTTAAACTGTGATTAGCAGACTGACCAACAAGTGCTGTGTTTTTATTTTATTTGATATACTTGGTCTTTTTGTTCCATTTATACACATTATTTGATCTCTAAATTGCATTATGGTATTAATAATGGACTTAGACTCAGAGCCTTTAGATCCTGACTTTGTTTTTGTTTGTTTTTTGTTTTTGTCCTGTCGCAGTCCATTTTTTGTTTCATTTTATTCATTTATTTTTTGTTTTGTCTCTGTTTTTTATCCTGTCGGACACAAATCACACTGTTGTCATCCTAACTTGTTTGCCAACTGCTATTGTGTTGTCTGTCTGGCTGTTTGTTGATAAAAAAATAAAAAAATAAAAGTTTTTTAAAAAAAAATACCAAACAGATAACCCATTGTAGCTTGTCTAATCACCCTCTATTTCAGCCCTGTTACTAAAGTGCTAATTCTGGTTCTGTAGTTTACAATGTTACCGATCTGCTGCTGGCCATGCCCCTTTGGAGCATGCAGGCAAGCAGTGAGCGCTGTGAAGAGAAGGCTGTCTACCAGCAGAAACTCAGCTAAACGCTGCCGTGATTTAACGCCATATTATGTTGAAAACCACATCAAGCATTATTTCTGAAACAGCATGGAGCTCAAACGCTTTCTCTGTTGCGGGTTTACCACAAGGTGAGTAGGATATCCTGCTTTTTTACACATACTCTCTCCAGTACAGCGTTAGCTCTGAGTGTTAGCGATGCTTGCTAATGTAAACACAGACCATATTACTTCCAAAACGCATTGTTTCTGATACAGCGACGTTACTGATAGGGGACGATAGGTTGGGCCCAGAGCGGAATGTTGGCAGGAGTTCAATGTAATGCCAGCCCACATTTTAGTAATGTCATCATGACCGCAGCAAATCTAGATCAGCTCCGTTGTATCCCCGTTTTTAGAGATGTGGGTAAGGAGGAAAAGAGAGAGGGTTGTATTTTCTCATACTTTGTGGGTCTCCTTACACACCGGGGACACATATTTATGTGACCATTAGCATTAACCTGTTCAACCCAGGGGGGGTTTTCACGAAACTGTGTCTTAGACAGTGGCGGCCGGCCCATAGGGGCGCCGCCCACCCTCTTCCCACATGTTTGATTGTCATTAAAAAATAAAAAATAAATATAAAAATATATTTTAAAAAAAAGAAAAAATATATATATTTTTTTTTTTTTTTTTTTGATGAACAAGGTAAATATTATATAATTGGTATCAGTAAAATGTATAATCTACAATAAAATCTCGTTTAAAATTGTTTTACGATGTCTAAAGTTACTGATAAGTCACATGTTTCCTGCCTGGCCGCAGCGTGTATCATTACCCGGGTTGCATTCCAATAGTCCATTTAGCTCATGGATGTATAATAAGAACTGGATACAGCGTGGGAGGCGGGGCCTCATTAATTCCTATGAGAGTTGCTCAATAGCGCATGATGACAAAATGGCCCAACTTTTGAGAGAGCGAAACGTCACAGATTACCCGGCATGCCTGAGAAGTACCCGTATGTGCGCTCATAGCGCATGCGCAACTTTAACCACGCCGCCCAAAAGGCTCGTTCACGTGAATTTGCGTACACGTAACAGCACCGCGCGTTCATGACAGCATGGTACTGGATTTAACGAACGAGAACGGGAACGAGGCGGCAGTTAGCAGCTAGCGGCTAGCTAGTAAATTATGCTAAATCACACATCAATCGTTATGTAGCCTACTTTTATATTACGCTGACATCAGGATCTAGTGATATCCATGCAACAGAGCTTCATTTAGCATGATACTTGTGTGGGTTAACTTGTACATGAAACCACTTGGTAATATATAAAAATGTATGTTGAAGCCTGTTATGATCAATTGTGAGTTAAAACTTTATCTAAAAAGTAAAGCTGATGATGGATTACTGTGGTGGAGTTAAAATAACAATAGCTATTTATTTTTTAAATGTGATGCAGTAAAAGGATAGTAACTGTGATTATTCATGTTAAGTAGCCCACAAGTAACTAAAACAATTGCAAGTGCAATAAGAAGCTACAGGAGCGTTAATCTACGTCGGTAATATTAACTTTATTTAATACAACATTTACGGTACAAGATTTACATCATACAGCCCATGTAGTATAATATTTTACAAATGATGAATTACAGCAAACATGTGCAATATATCCATTATTACAGCTCCGTGGGCTGGCAGTAAGGCGATATGGGTCCGTTGTTATTGTGCATCCATGGGTAAAGATAAACGCATGTAGTGCTGAACACGTAACATGAACGTGCCGGGCAGCGCGGTCCCGTGGGTTAGATGCGCGTTCATAATGCCGAGGGAAATAACTCTCAGAATAACGTTATTAGCACATTTTTACAATTTGAGGAACGAATGTTTTTAATAAGGGCTATACAAGTGTTCATACTGGGTTGTTTATTTAGTTTTAAAAATATTATCCAACGAGTTACAGAACACTCTTTCCCAATGTAAGTCAATGGGAAAAAGTGTTTCCGGGCCCAGCAACCAAACGGAAGTGTAGTACCGCCGTTTGGCCACTACGAATATTCTCATCAGACTCCGGCGCACTTCCTGGGGGCTTGATTTAGCTTAGGAACCTTCCTAACGGAGTGAAATAACCCGGAAGTACGTCACTGGCAGCCATGATAAGTGCCGTTCCAATTCTCCAAATGAAAGGAAAGGAGGTTTCAAACGTCCTTTATAACCTCCTTTAGCTTAGGAACCACTGGACCTCCCTAACCGAAAGGAGAGGAGAAAATGCTGCCCCACAATGCATTGCAGCCGCAGCATTTGCCGTCACTCAACAGTCGGCCGTTCACGGAAATAACCGATTATGACCGAGAAATTATATCATGAAAGTTACGGTGCTTATTAAGCATTTTAAAACGTATGTGGTAAGTTGCCAAAGTGCTTTTTTTCTAAACGTTCATCAGTATTATAATCAAAAAGAGAAATATGAACGTTTTTACTGAAATGATCAAATAAAGTCAACATTTCACAGTCTTTACTGAGCTGTGTGGGGTTTGTTCAACTTTTAAAAGATGTTTGAATGATGATATACACAGTGATAGATGTTAAGGACTAACGTTTATAATAAATACATTTGTATTTATTTTAAGATATTTTCATAGTTCATACAATCATACGTATTGGGATCATTTGTATTAATGTGGACCGGAGGGAGAGGGTGACGAGCATAAGTTTCACTTTCCTTTTTTATTTCAATTCCAACTTTGGTCATGAAGAATATGTTTCTCTGTTGTCCACGTTCATAAAGCATAAAACAACAGCATCAGAGCACGGTGCAGAGTCTCTAGATGAGTTTACAGTAGTCCCTTGTTCTTATTAAACAATTAAACATCCATGTTGTAGTCCGCTGTATAGAAAACTGTAGTTTCCATAGTTTCCCCACAGCAGCAGACGCACATTCATGACGTCCGCTAGCGCATCATAAACATGTTGGATAGTAAAAGTGCATTCGGATTCTCTAAAGTACCGCGGTCTCTTCTCCTAAGTCCTTTTGAATTCTCCTATCCACTATCCCTTACCCCCGTGACGTTTCACTCAGAGGTCAAGGAATAGGAGATAGGGTTAGAACTTAGGAGCTGATTTTTGAATTATCGGAACGCAACCCCTCTCTCGTCCGGGCGGTAGAAAGGAGCCCTCAGCCAGAGCAGCAGCAGCCAACAAGCTGACTGTTGCTATCTGTATACTATGCCGCCGAAACATAATTTCAGCCAATCAGCGTCGTTAGATCTGATGCTCAAAGGGCGCCGTGTTAGCGCCCTGGCCTGTGTGTCTGTGAGTTGTTTGGACTCGTATCCAAGGTGACGCTACAGTAGTTGTCTGCAGGTGGAGACTACGGTGCTAGTGGATCGCCGGAGCTGTAGATTAACATTTACATGCTTATTGTAGTTGTAAGGGCAATGCCTGTAGCACCATGGAGCATATGTGTGGGCTGGACCTGTATTTTACAGGAAAGGAGTGAGCAGAGGGTGGAGTTGTCGATTCTTGTTCAGTTTTCATCTTCCTCACCCTCTCAAACTTTGAGTTGCGTGCGCTGCTAAAGAGACGCGCTACCATGGACACCAAACAATGGTGTAGCTGTATTAAAGTCCGAGTGGAAACAGTCATGAGTAAATCTGATTTTGTCAGAAATCGGGAGAAATATGACCCCGGGAGGAAACCGGGAGAGGGCAATGAAATCGGGAGTCTCCCGTGAAAATCGGGAGGGTTGGCAAGTATGACACACACACACACACACACATAATGTTCGTATTTAGTCTCCTGATTTTAAATGGGAATTAAATCATTTGAGTGTTCCCAAAGCACCAGTGTTCTGCAGTTTGTGTGGGCCTACTGTACTGTTGCACAGTTTTGGAAGATTCATAGCTAACCACACTGAAGATTATGGATTATAATCCTCTAACATCACCAGATAATTTAAGGGGTAATTTCTCAAAAATGTCTTCTGGGGGAGGATTTTTTTTTCTCCAACTTAAAAACTCTACTTAGATCTAATAATAAATATGAGTCTAGTCCAAAAGGAAAAATTAAGTTATAACAAAGTAATACATTTTGTGCGGTCTTCAGAATTAATTATCTTATTACTTTGTGTGAATGTAAATATATATCTTAGACGGAAGCAATATTTTTTACTTAATTCAAATACATTTTTTGAGGTCAAAAAATGTATTTGGAATAAACTAAAAAAATTAGCTGTAACAAATTAGCATTTTTTTAAGTTGATCCAAAGTATAAATGTTCTCGCGGCGAAACGACAACAAACAACAACAACAAAAATGTGCTTTATGGGACCAAATCGGAAAATGAGTCTTACCGTTGCTGTTGTTCTGATCAAAAGTTGTGTTCAATGGCATTAAAACGATAAAAACGCTGCTGAAGGTTAATCTAATGTGTCTGTGTCACTTTGAAATGATTACTGATAATCCATCATTCCATTTTTATGTCAATACCGGCGTTTTCATAGCTGCTAACGATAGCTACAAGAGTGTATGACAGCTTCCGGTTCCGAGGCATTCTGGCTACGCATCACTCATTCACCAATGGGTAATGTTTAGATGGATTTGAGGAACTTCCCCTCGATTCTATTGGCTCTAACGGTTAAAAAGAGGTGCCAATCGTCAAAATCGACCGAGGGGGGCCAAAGATGTGGAAAATGCACCCAAATGACTTTTTCTAAATCTCTCTATAAAGGTCAAATGTCACTTGTTTTGCATCAATCTTGATACAGGGTACTTATTATATTTTATTTGGATTCCTAAAGCTTTTAGTCTACTATCCCATCATTCAAGGGTGGTTTTCACTATAAGTAATGTTTTTTTTTTGGACGGTCACTATAATTTACATTTTGTTACTATGTTCAATCTGAATTTACTTTAAAATAAAAACATTTTATATTGATTCTGACTTTTCTACATCCAACTCACAGGTTTATCATTGCTTTGAGAAAATATTATTAATTTACCCATTTTAGATGTGAAGATATAGTCAATTGGTCTGGGAATGTCATTTTCGAGCCTTACACCTGAAAAACAGGCTCAGGGCTTAACAGGTTAAGTTCAGCACATACAGGATGGGCATTGGACCTAGGCCAGTGTGCTGTGATATATCCAAAGAGAGCCACGTTACTTGCAATTAATAAAAGCAAAGAGGAGATATCCTGGATTCTTGTAAGGTAAGCAACACCAAAGGGAAGAAACAATCTGTTATTTTTAATGTCCTCAACAGATGAAACATCAACCCCCAACAAGCAGGTGTGTGGGTGGTACTTGAGAATGAAGATGTTTGTGTCTGGCCTTTTAAAACCTACTTTAGGTTTAGAATAATATGGAAGGGAATTAAGGTCCTCTAAATACTGTAATAAGGTGATTACATTGAAGAGGATGACATTTAATCTGATTAAGTCACCTTTGAACAATTATAACCTACTTGCAGATTACTGTCATGGTTATAAAGTGTGTCTCCACTTTGTCAAATAACTGCATTTGATTCTTTGCAAACTTTTTTTTTAACATTAGAGGTTTGCTCTTGTTGAGTGTTTCCTTCCCTGTGGACAGGCCAGATTTCAGTGGAAGAGCTACTGTATGACTGATTGGTTCCAGGAGCCCCAGACTACTTTCAAACTGCCTGAGGAAGAACACACATTCACACAATATGAAAGCAGTCACCTTCCCCTCCTGGGCTTCACTCATGGCGTGTCCTGTTGATGTTTTCCTGCGGCGTTTGTTCCCGCCGAATGTACTGCGTCCAGTCATCATGCCGGTTAGAGCGGCGGGCCCCTGCGGTGCTCCCCCCGGTGCAATCATCGCTCCTCCTGACGCCGCCGGACCCACTGTGCGGCCCTCCTCATCGGTCACCATAAAGGTAGACCACATGTTGTTGGAGCAATGCCTTGGGCTTTTCCCTCGCTAGGGTTGGTTCAAATTTGAGCAAAATAAAAAAACAGACGTAAATAAAACCTGAAGAAAAATGTTGTTGTTCTCAGTTTGTGCCCATAAAGAAAACAGGAAAAACACCTGAGACAATATTAAAGTAAAATAAAGTCAATAACTGGTGTTGCTGAGCAAGCACAGGAGGTAGAATGAAGGAAAGCAAGAAGACTCTGTGTTGAGAACTAACTGAGTGAAAAAAAGTGTTATACAAAAGTATAATAAAAAGTTTAAACCCAAAGTCTTTGCTAACAATAACTGAACAAGCAATGTCTCTGAAAACGTTAGCAAGAACCAGCAGGAATCAGCCTTCTCTTGTAAAACAGCCCCAGAAGAAATGGCGGCTTAGACAACAGATGCAAAACTGATGAATGTATCATAGTGAAAAAAAGGAAAAGTCAGGGAAATGTGTTTAGAAGAATAATGCCACTGAGAGTGTAGAGGTAGAAGTAAGGAGTGGATGAAGTGGTGCTTCCTAGAGAGGAAAAAGAAAGGAGAAAAGAAAAGTAAATATAGATGAATCCAGTGTTACATCTTGAAGTGAAAATACTTCTAGACAACTATCAGAGTCTATAATCAAGCCCCCCCCCCCTCTATTCAAACCTGGCATTATTCAATCTGCATCTTTATGGTCTATATATGGACAAACCAAGTTATTGCAGCTGTATTGACCAAACAGGACTTGGATTGCCCTGTTGCCCTGTACAGCTGGTGGTGTGACTTAAATGTTTAGTTTAGATCTTGGTTGTGAATCTGTACAGTTTGCCCATGCAGTAAAGGAATAGTGGAAAGGAAAGATCAACTATTTTCTCAGACACCTCGCTTCCCTTGACCTGGCAAGGTTGACATATTTTACCAGTTTTATAAAGGAACCCCTACTCTGAATATGTTATGATCCCATCAAATGAAACTACTTTCTCATTTACATTTAGAGGGAATTCCTCCAGGATTATGGTCAACTATACACATTAGGGTACTGTTGAATTGCAACAAGGTTATATTTAGTCAAATATCATGGTTCAAATGGTATGGTTCAAGATTGTGTTTGCCGCCTAATTTAAGTTACATAATAATATACCTATGTAACAGAAAACATTTGTAACACACATCTGTAACAACAGTTGAGGGGGACTTGCTGCGAAGTAACGTAAGATTAAAAAGCATTGGTTGCTCCGCATTGGTGCTGAATTAACAAAAACAACTCACATCTAAAACTACAACAAAATAAGTATTTATTTTAAAGTGTAAGTTTATCCCGAATTCAGAAGCTTCACGGCTGTGGGATTATGATAGAATAAAAGCTCAGAACTGGAGAGAGCTTCCTCCGAATATAAACAATTATCTGTGCTGTCGGTACTTTTCAATTAGGACAGAAAAAACAATTAAAAAACACTTAGCATAGTGAAATCACCATCAATTATCTATTTTGAGATGTTATGTGACAGCTGCAAACACAGAAGAAAACAGTTGCTGGAATCACAACCTGCTATCTATTCTGAGACGCTTTGTGGAACCTCAGCGGCACAAAAACACTCATCATGTTCAAGCCATAACCAATTATCTATTCCAGGAAGCTCTGTGATGGAGAAGTCACGCAGATACAATGCAGATGAATCGAATCTTAAACTCTTTATGTCTGCAGGGTGAATGAAGCAGCTGTCCTGCTGCGTTCCACCAGGAAGTGGTGACAACAGACAAGACATGCCCCCTCCTCTTGTTAGCAACAAATGAAACACATCCCCTGGGGAGGACACATAGCTTTACTTTCCCATCAGCGTCTGTCTCGTTAACAAGCCACAGTAGAAGTGTAGCTTTGTTGTCTCGCAAAGCTCTTTGTGGAAAACAGATAAAACAAAATGCACACTACAATACATCCAAAACACTTTTTTACCATATCCTGTTATACAGACAGCTTAATTGAAACACTTGACGATACTATTTGGATTCAGTCACCAAATATCTCAAAAAGAAAAAAATGAATGATAATTTGTATGCTGCAGCAGTACACAGTACACTGGTGTTCAATGATAATGCATACAGAAACTGTAAAAGACAACAACTTAGGTTTGAATTGTCTTAAAGTGTATACAAAAGCCCTAAATGTACATTTGTCACAGAAACTGTGTAAATGTAAAGATTATACTTGTTATTTTCATTGTTTCGTGTTTTTTTCAATGACATTGCAGGGTCAGAAGAGGTCTGATTTTTGATGTTTTAAATATTATATTTATGTACATATTAAAGGAAGAAAGGTCATATATTGGTTGGGTAAATGATACAACTAATTATAATAAATAACAAAACAAATCTGGAAATTAACGGGATATTAAAGTGAGTTGAAGTCATTCGATTACACCAAAGACAAATATGAAATGACAACCCAAACTAATGAATAAATAACGACATATTGGATGGTAATTGACATAAGAAGAAGATTAGAGGTAGAATTTATAGTATTTAGTTGTTAGTTGTAGTATATTTTACTTTGTAGGTCCAGGCAGTTGCAGTAATCCAAAGAGATATGGAGAAGCAGGCAGACATATTGCATCTTGCTCAAAGGCAGTTTGACAGGCACATTCATCAGATGCCAGCATCATACTTGCAACCTTTATGTTACATAAGAGATAACATGCAATACTGATGTTACCAATAATACTCACAAAATGTTTTACTACTGGTTTATTAGTTCCTGATATGACAACGGTAAGGTGATGAAAATGTCACACAAACAAATGATCTATACCTAAAAGAAGTGTACATGCAAAACGCCAAAATGGCATACTTAATCATTATGGACGTACATTTGTAAAACAACGACAAACAAAAAAAGACATTTACATCTGCCATTGAAGAATAAGTTGGTTAGTTAAAGTTTGGTGTTAGCAGTAAAAAATGGAACTTGAAATAAAGCAAACTCTGCTGTCCCCTAGTCATGAAATCTGAACATGGCTGGCTTTATTAGGCATACAACTGGTCTCAGTGGAAACAGATGCATCGAACACGAGAAAGGTACAGCGGCAGCGACAAATGCTTTTAAAAATGTGAAAACAATATGTCTTACTGTCGTCAAAAATCAGTTAACATGACATCGACCCTTAGGAGAAAGTTATTGCGTTATATCAAAACAAACTGGACTCCATAAACACTTTGTGCAGGCAGTGTTTGAAGAGTTCCCCCCACCCCCCACCAGCCCATACCCCCCAAACAGTAGCCATTGAATATCATGCTGAAATTAGAAACATTAGCTTTATTTATTTTCTCCATATCAGGTGCTGCACGTGTGCTTCACAACGTTCGTCGCCACTTCACAAATATCACAACAATGATTTTAACAAGTTGCTGACCTGGTTTTTGTGTGTGTGCTTCTGCTCGAAGTGACGGAGCGCAAGGCGAGAAGAAGAGAGGGAGTGAGAGGGGAGAGAGAAAGAGAGGTGGGCGGGTGAGGAAGGGGAAAAGAGGGCGGAGGTCGTAGTCGGTGTTACGTCCCGAGGGAGGATTGGGGGGGTCTGAAAGTGTACGGGTGGGAGGAGGTGAAAAAGAGCATCAGCTAAATGGTCACGTGTGTGTGTGTGTGTGTGTGTGTGTGTGTGTGTGTGTGTGTGTGTGTGTGTGTGTGTGTGTGTGTGTGTGTGTGTGTGTGTGTGTGTGTGTGTGTGTGTGTGTGTGTGTGTGTGTGGCATGAGTGTACCTTTGCACACCCACACACAATATAGGGTTACATATTTCTCTGTGTGTCTATGTGTGTGTGCATGTATCTGTGCATTTACATGCTTGCCTATTAGCTTGCAGGCCCCTGTGTGTGTGTGTGTGTGTGTGTGTGTGTGTGTGTGTGTGTGTGTGTGTGTGTGTGTGTGTGTGTGTGTGTGTGTGTGTGTGTGTGTGTGTGTGTGTGTGTGGCATTAGTGTACATTTGCACACCCACACACAATATAGGGTTACATATTTCTCTGTGTGCCTATGTGTGTGTGCATGTATCTGTGCATTTACATGCTTGCCTATTAGCTTGCAGCCCCTGTGTGTGTGTGTGTGTGTGTGTGTGTGTGTGTGTGTGTGTGTGTGTGTGTGTGTGTGTGTGTGTGTGCGTGTGTGTGTGTGTGCGTGTGTGTGTGTGTGTGTGTGTGTGTGTGTGTGTGTGTGTGTGTGTGTGTGTGTGTGTGTGTGTGTGTGTGTGTGTGTGTGTGTGTGTGTGTGTGTGTGTGTGTGTGTGTGTGGGGGAAGTATGTAGCTTCTGTAAATGAACCAGTGTGGAAATGTGTCACACCACACACACACTCAACCCTAACTCCTTTTCTGTGTGTGTATGTGCATGTTATGCCTCTCTTACATCTATTTTTGCCCCCCACCTGTTAATGACATTAAAGCCGACCCAGGGGAAAGGGCTCGGTGGGGGCCTTGTGTCAGCTCCACTCTGGCTGTGAGGCTCCTGTCTGCAGCCGTCTACCATCCCGCTGATTGAAGAGGGAATTGTAGATTCATCACCTCGAAAACAAGTTACACTGCTGCTTGGCTCACACAATCCTAACCTGAAACCCGAGACACCGCACTGTCTGCTGACATAGGCAATGCAGAAATGTATCTGCAGTTTGTTCCTACTAAGTTCACCAACACGATTTTTAATCTATTGATTCGTGTTCACCAACACGATTTTCCCCTTTTTTCGTGTTGCACAGCACGATTTTAAAAGCAATGTATTTCTACTGGTAATGACGCTCATGGAAGCATGGCATTCGTTTGTGTCGGCTGCCCTTAAAGGCAATGTGAGCGTCCATTCTCATTGGATAACGGAGAATTGTAGACCCGGAAGCAAGTATTCCCCTTACTGTCGATTGATTTTACAGTGATATCTGCACTACTCATCGACTAAAAAACACCAGATTATCCTTGTTAATTACACAACATTGATTGGTTTAAATTGTGTGCAATGCTTTTGTATTTTTCCCCTTCGATTCGGAGAAACAAATATTTTTTCGGAGTAAAGGATGGCAGAAGACACTACACTACCCAGAATCCCCAGCTATCGTTTGGACTACACCATGTGCTCTGTTTGACAAACCCCGTTTTTTTTCACCATTCATTCCAATGGCTGGCGTCTATGTCACGTGATCTTCAAATTTCTCCCTGCAGAAAAAACAAAACATGGCCGAACTTCGTTTTATTCTCGGTGGAAAATGCCTATTTTAAAGTTAGTTTGGCCATTAAAATGCGTTTTGATGTCATTTGATGCGAGAAATATCAGTTGTTATTTCAGATTATGTGTGCAGTGGATGTACATGATCTTTAGTTTGCTAGTTATTACGAAGATTACTTCAGGAAGTTTTCATTCATTTCATATCGATATTATTTCTGTTATGTTGTGTAACTGTTTAATGGTGTTATCTTTATTGCTACCCCCTTCCCCGTCAATGTATAGTGTTGGTCCACAGCGCAAACATATTAGTTTAACAAAATCCGCATCTAAAGATAGCCTGTAAACGTTATTTTCCCCTGTGCAATTCCAGTCTCACATCTCACAGCGGGAGACATCCATCTGAATCCGGTTGCTGTAACGGACAAAGACAAATATCTGCAAGCTGACGACATTGTGCATTTAAGCAACAAAAATGGACTACATATTTTTCATCTGAACACTAACAGCCTGAGACACAAACTGGCTGAACTCAGGCAGCTATTCATGAACGGTAAGGCAAGCATATTATGCTTTTCTGAGACCAAATTGGACAATTCCATTACAGATTCAGAGATTGAAATTGAAGATGATCTTGTAGTGAGAAGGGACAGGAACGTGAATGGAGGTGGTGTCTGCATGTACATACATAAAGACACCAATTTCAAAAACCGAACTGACCTGCATCATGAAAATATTGAATCTGTGTGGGTTGAAATTCTTTTTGACAATGCTAAATCTGTAATAGTCGGGACAATCTATAGACCACCGGAACAGAGTGACTTTTATGATACATTAGATGGGTGTTTGGCTGATGTGGGGGACAATTATTATTGGAGACTGGAACACGGATATGCAACGTAAAGACACGTCCGTCTTCAAGTCCTTCAGTAGGATTTGTGATCTGCACGGCTTCAGCCAGCTAATCACCCAACCCACCCGGGTATGTGAAACAACACAAACTACCATTGATCTCATTCTGACCTCTGACAAGTCCAGGATCTCCAGTAAAGGGGTTATAGCATGCGGGTTAAGTGATCATTATATGATATTCTGTACCCGCAAAAAGCTAAAACAAAGGGCCGGCTGTCACAAAACAGTCATATCTAGAGACCTCAAAAACTACTCTAGCGAGGCCTTTAACCTAGAACTGGAGAGCCTGGACTGGTCAGATGAGCTCAGTGGTACACAAGTTGAAGAAACATGGCTTGGTTTCATAAACAAATTCTCTGTAATACTCAATGATTTGGCCCCCCTAAGAACAACCAGGGTAAAAAATCGCGCTGAGCCGTGGATGCACTCCGGCATACTGACCGCCATGAAAACCAGAGACAAAAAATGCTCTGAGTTTCATAAAAGTCAGTCAATGCTTTCCAAAAGCACGAGCAGTGAACTCCAGGCCCACGTGACTGAACTCAAAATTGAAAGAAACAGACTAAGAAATGACGTAAGCTCCATGATCAAAACTGCCAAAAAGAATTTCATCAATATCAAAACTGAGGAAAACAAAAATAAACCCCGTGAACTTTGGAAATTACTCAATAACCAGCTTGGCTGCAGTAAAAAACTCAAAACGAGATTTTCTAACTTAAACATAAAGACAGATAACAGGCTCATCACAGACAAACTGGAGGTGGCCAAGTACTTGAACATTTTTTTCACAAACATAGCCACAACTCTTGTAAATAAATTACCCTCCCACTCAGGGCTTTTTGGAGTAGATCACATCATGACCTACTACAAAAACCTAGGGGTACGCAAAGATGATTTCAGTCAAGGGTAACAACAGCAGAGGTACTCATTAAACTGAGCGCCCTCCAACCTAACAAGGCCACTGGCCACGACAATATCCCCTCCAAATTCCTCAGAGACACAGCAACCGCCATCTCACCAGTCATAGCTCACATAATTAACCTCTCCATAAAACAGGGAAAAGTACCCAAAGACTTCAAAATTGCAAGAGTAACCCCCCTGCACAAAAAGGGCAGCAAATTGGACCCAGGCAACTACCGCCCTGTTTCTATACTTACCTCCATCTCGAAAGTCATGGAAAAAATAGTATATGAACAGGTCGAAAAGTACCTCGCGGAAAAGAAACTAATCTATGAATTTCAATCTGGCTTTAGAACATCCCACTCCACACATGCCTTCTTTATTTGAGCGACCACATCAAACAAGAGGTGGACGAGGGCAAGTACTGCGGCATGGTGATGCTGGACCTACAAAAGGCTTTCGACACTGTCAATCATCCCATTCTGATTGACAAGCTAAAAGCAATTGGTTTTGATAAACTATCGGTGAGCTGGATGCAATCCTACCTGGAGGGGAGAGAACAGATGGTGGAGGTAAACGGTACTCTGTCCCCCCCCCCCTCCCAGTGAGCTGTGGTGTTCCACAAGGAAGCATATTAGGTCCGTTACTGTTCCTAATTTATGTAAATGACATGTCATCAGCATGTGACTGCAACTTGTTCCTGTTCGCGGACGACTCAGTCCTGCTGGTCTCTGACAGGAACAGGTTGCAGGTTGAAAAAACCCTCAGCTCCGAGCTCGGCAGAATCTGCACCTGGCTCGCCGATAATAAATTATCATTACACCTGGGTAAAACAGACTCCATTCTCTTCGGTTCGAAACATAATCTCAGCAAATCCGACGACTTCTCAGTTGCAGTGGGTGACATTATTGTCACAAGTAAGAAGGAAATTACATACCTAGGATCTATTCTTGAGGCAAACCTCTCCTGTGACAAAATGGCATCCAATGTAATAAAAAAAGTCAATCAAAGAACTAGATTCCTATACCGGATCTCCTCTCTGGTAAACAAAAACACCCTGAAAACTCTGGCAGGAGTACTCATTCAAGGGTACTATGACTATGCTTGCACGTCATGGTACCATAGCACCTCCAAGGCGCTAAAAATAAAACTTCAAACATCGCAAAATAAACTGGTCAGACTACTGCTTGACCTTTCATCTAGAACCCACCTCACCTCTGCCCACTTTGACAACCTAGGATGGCTTAGAGTAGACGACAGAGTACAGCTACTTGCAATGGGCCTGGTCTACAAGATCCACTACACCTCTATGGTACCCATGTACATGTCAAAATTCTTCCCAAAGGTCAAGGAATACCATCATCATAACACCAGAGGGAGCTCCACAAATCATGTGAAACCCAGATTTGGCACAAAAAAGGGGGAATACACGTTTCGCAATTATGCCACATCAAGGTGGAACGCTCTTCCCACAACTGTAAAGGAAAGTAAAACTATACTTACCTTCAAAACCTCTCTTAAAGAGCACCTTCGGGGGAGAGCATTGCAAAACTGGCCCCGGTAATGGTACAAATCTCAACCTGTCGTTCAATGGACAGCTCCCCCCCATCTATGTATATACTCGCATTTTAGACTCTGTTACTAACTGTATATCTGTAGACTTGGTATGTCTTAAATGTCCGGTTAGGATGTATTAGAACGAAATCTAAAATGAAAATTGTAAATAAGCAATCTGTATGTAAAAAACCACCTGTATGTAAATTGTAAATAAGCCATCTGTATGTCAAATATGTCATATGTCTTAAATGACATGATGAATTGGAAATGGGGGACCCTGATGTAAACAAGACGAAAGTCTTTCTCTGGTCTGCATCCCCTTAACAATTGTATGTTTTGAGCTGTACTGTACTGTACCCAATATACAAGCTGTTAATAAACTTTTCAATCAATCAATCAATCACAGCACATCGTCATTAGGCTTGTTTGAGACGCGTTGCGGCCAAGCGGCAAACTGTGGGGTAGAGCCGGGAAGCCAATACGGAAGTGCTACACACTGCAGTTCATATATTGGCCGATAGGCGATGGCTGCAGAAAGGAGCAATTTCCATAGACCCCCATGTTAAAATGCCCAACTTTACAGCAGACAAAAAGATGTTTCTACCCCTGGCTCCATACATTTTATTAGCGATATAGTTAGATTCCACCTTCATGATTATGGATCTGTGAGTGAATTGTTTTCTAACGCGACCCTTTTATTTATATTAGGTCTTAAAGTTTGTGCATAAATTAGGGCGTGGTCACATTGAGTGACGGCTCTGTCAAGTGCCTGCCGCTGTTAGCTTCTTGTCTCTCTGCTAGCTGCTCCGTGAAGCTAGCTACAGGGACTCTGCCTGCTCAGCTCATCCAGGAAACACAACTTGTAGCCGGCCGTGGTTGTTTGTTCTTCATGCTTATATATCGGACTATTGTGACTCGCTCTGCGGTTAAAACAGACGGTGCATGAATGCGGTAAGTGAAATTCGAGTGCTTTATTTATGTGTTAATGATTTTAATCGGCTACGTAATGAATGGTAAGGCTTGGCTTGGGTTAGTTAGTGGCTAGTGGTAGCTACATCGGTGCTAACGATTGTAATCGTAGCCTCCAAGTTAAAATCATAGACTCTATATAAAGGTTAAAACTAAATAGACAAGTGTTAAGTGGGATAATACTGTTGAACAAACGGCTTCTGTTTGAGGTTGATAAAATAAGGTTACATCCTTGTAACTTAGAGATATTTTATTATATAGGTAGAACTGTATGCATCTAAGGTTAATTTAAATTGGCTATGCTCAAGTATGTAGACAAGCTAATGTCGAAGTAGTGTATGTGAAATCAACCTCACAATAAGATGTGTGTATATTACAATTATTAATGTCATATTTCAAGATGATTACTTAGATATTACAATATGGTTGGTTGAGCTGGAGTTCATTATTGAGCTTACACGTTAACGTCACAGTCATCTGAAGAACGAACCCAAACCTTGACGTTTTTATTAATTGCATTACCAAATGGGTATCAAATAAACAGTAAGCATTGGTAACACAATTTCCAAAGTTACAGTAAAATAAAAAGGACCCTGACTCGGACAATACACAATCCAACATGTTCAACAGAAGAGAATCAGTTATATTGTTTGTACACATGGTACTTTACATATATATCGGTTTGTTTAAAGTGTCCAGGTGATGCAGACAGGCTGGACCAGAGAGTGAGAGACAGAACTGGACTCCTCACAGCAGTGAACTTCAGCACAGGTACAAAGACTCTTTTTTCATACTGTACAAAGAATCAATAAATATATTGGTTTAAATGAATGAAGTATTGACTTGAATACACTGATATACATTCCATTAAACAATACTAAATACTAGATCACCTACACATCAGTGAAGTTGAGGGGTTTTTCCATGCAAAAAGTTACATTTAGATATTTAGCAATATGACTTTGTCAGCTTTCTAATTTAATGTATTGAAGGCAAATATATTTAACACATAGTGAGAACTGCTACTATTTATCTCTCAATATTGTCTGTAAAAAACGTGGTAAAAGTGATTCTTTCAGTGAGACAACAGAGCAAGCTTCTACAGCTGCACTACGTTTTGATAACAGTTAAATATTATTTTGATAACATATATTTCAATGTTGATGAACTTCATACTGTTCATTCATAATCTGATTGTCTTTGTAGCTCATTGTTGAAATAAAAAAAAAACATTACAATTACAAAATAATTATATCTACAGCCCCTAAACCAGTGGTTCTCAAACTTTTTCTGTCAGGCCCTCCCTTTGGAGAAAAAAAAAAGTCGGGCCCCCCCAACACAAATAGTCAGGCTCAGTGGCGGCGCCAGAGATTTATTTTGGGGCTGCTGTGCGGTAGCTTGACGTTTCATAGAGGGTGCTCAAACATTTAGGGTTTCCCATTAATGTACCGGGCGCTACAGTGGAATGTTCTACTGCAACAATCCCCACGCATACACACAGTGTACCCGCGACTGTCACAATTGGCTCGATAATCAGCTCACGGCATATAGGTGTAAGCAGGGGTAAAGTGCTATTTTTGTAGGTGGTGTGTGGACCTCACATAGGGGGGCATGCTCCCCCGGGAAGATTTATTTTTAAATATTGAAGTAAAAGCATCAATCTGGTGCACTTTGAGAGCAACATGAAGAGATCTATGGATACCTCTCTCAACACCCAGATGAAACAGAACTGTAAACAGATTTACTTTTTCTTTATGGATATTTTACAAATCACCCTTTTAAACTCTATTCTTGTTTTACTGTCATATAGTATTTCATACCTGTTTTTAATTTATTCTCTTGTTTTTTTATAACTATAATGATCATATAAACGTGTGCCTCAGAAATAATTGTTTACATTAATGGTGACCAACAATTTGAGACCCACTGAGATAACACTGAGAGAGTCCTTTAGCTCACTGAGTCTCTCAGTCTGACTCTCCTCCACTTTGTTGTTGAACAAACTCCTTATATCCGTTAGCGTAGCTCGATAGTACCAGAAGCTAACAACAACGATCTCCGGTACCAGTGCGCTCTCTCTCGCGCACACAAAATGGCTCGTTCCACACACACGGAGCCGAGCTTTAATGATACACAGAGACCCAGACGTAATAGTACTGTACTGCATCATATTATTTTTGAATCAATAATTTTTGTAATTATGATTTTTTTTTTTTTTTTTTAATAAATCTTTTTTTTTTTTATATATATAACCATTTTTCCTCCTGGTCTCTCGCGCCCCCCCTGGCATGCCTCTGCGCCCCCCAGGGGGGGAGCGCCCCCCACTTTGAGAACCACTGCCCTAAACACACAAACACACTGCTTTCATAAATAACACACTTGTTCTGCAATAATATGTTTTATGTTTCCTGTCATTTTTGTTAGGAAAGGACATGCCTGAAAGACACGACATGTTCTCCTTCTCTGAGGGTCAAGAAGAACATCCAAGAGGAACATTAAAAGCTGATGTTATGAGATTTTAAAGGTCCCATGTCATGCTTTTCCGGTTATTGCCCGTCCCCTTGTGTGTTATGAAGGTTTTTATGCATGTAAACAGTCTGCAAAGTCAAAACCCTCAAAGTACACCCTGTAGCGAGTAAACTCTAACACAGAAAATACCTCCCCCAAAAGCCTCGTTGGAGATTTCTCAGTTTCCATTGTTTACTTCCTGCCCCGCGTGACGTAGCTGCACCGCGTGACGTCGCTTCCTCTGCCAGCCGACCATATTAAGTGTCGTAAAACCTGCTTCTTTTCAAAGCTTTATCCAGTCATGTCGCGGAGGGTCTGTTGCCTGTATTGTGTGGAGAAATCCACAATGTTTGCAGTACCGAAGGCAGAACCACGACGAAGGCAGTGGTCCTTTTTAACACTGTTCCAGCTGATTTACCAGCCGGTACTGTTGTGTGTGCGCGGCATTTCTGGACCAAAGCTTAAAAAACTTAACAATGTTTAGCTTCGGACTTGCAAAGCTGATATTGGAGGACGATGCTGTTCCTACTTTGTTTGGACCAGCGGGAGATTCGGCTACACAACCTGTAAGTATTCATTGTGGTTTGTGTATTTAGTCTGTTTAAAACAAACAATGTATCTACCACGACTGTGTAAATGCTATGCTATGCTACCGAGGTAAACACGAGGGCTACCTAGCATTCCCAGACCTCAACACCGATGTTAGCACATGGCCTTACATGTATCTCATAGCAGGAGAATGTCTGCAAACACACACAAAATACTCATAGACAGTATACTCCGGGTGATTTAACCGTACGGTCAGTAATTACAGTTGCCGTTCGTGTATTCTACCGAGCTACCATTAATAAGCTAAGCTAGAAGCTCTAACCTAGAGATGTTATGAAAAACATTGTTTTCATGCCAGCTACAATGAATGACCGAACGTAGCAGACTATCTGTAGAACATTGTAATTGTAAAAGTGTTGCTTTTATGAAATTGACTGTTTTCCTCGATACAAAATTAATTGTATGAATACTATGTGTATCTTTCTTAGAGTACATCACAGCAGGAACACAATACCCACCGCTCCAGTACAGTCGGATGTCAAACAGACCGTCCACAGACTGTTTGTGTGGGAACTCAGAGGGTTGAGACACGGTCTGTGGGAACACAGACAGTGGAATGTAAAGTGTCCGCCATTTCTGTTGCAACACAGTTGGCCCGGGGAACACTGAAATCGGCACACGTGAGAAGCAAAGGTAGACTATAACACTCACAAATCACAGATACATTACCTTAATTGTGCTTTTATTACATGTACAGCACTTGGGCTCGACCAAAAATCTTTTTTAAATGTGCTCTATAAATAAAACCTTATTTGATATTATTGTATATCACAGAAATACTGTTATGTTGACTACAAGAAATACAGTGCTGTTTGTAGTTTGTACATTTTTCATGAATTAATCTGTCAGATGTACACAAGTTGTTGGCCTTTTAAAATGTATTAGTGTCTTATCTAATGTACATAGTATTTATGCACTTTTCCCTTTTTATTAACAGGCATCCAGGCCACGGTGTCTTTCAAAAGTGTTGGCACTAAAACTTCCACCTACACAGAAATCCCCTTGTCCTCTACACCAATAAAGGGCCCAGGATTGGGACCTAGCAAGAGACCTCGACTAGAGTTGGAGCAGGAACAAGGAGAGACTTCGATTGAATTTGAAGAGACTCTGGATTCGAGTTACCACCCTGATGATACTGTAGAAGAATCTGACGTATCGTAAGTTTGGTATATTTGGTACACATTACTATTACTGTTGTTCAGAGTTGACATCTAACATGTATTGTTAATTTTGTTTTGTTACATTAGACTTCAGACACGATCCACGCACAGTGACGCAAAGTACATTGTGTTTGAAAGCTGCCTCGGACAGCTGTTTGAAACATTTCCGTTTTGTAAGACAGACTGTGATGTCCAAAAACGAAAAATGGGACTTTTGTGGCGTTCAAACAGCGTTGTCCAAACTGCACTTACTTCAGACAATGGGAGAGCCAGCCCATCATTGGAAGTACCCCGGTTGGCAACTTACAATTATCTGCTGCTACATACTTCACTGGTGCTTCCTTCTTCCAACTAAAAAAGGTATTTTACCATCTTACATCCATAGCATATGAAAAATGACAGAAGTGGACTTTTTCAAATACTTGTCCTGTTTTTCTATTTATTCATAGATATGCAGAGCCATGCAGCTGGAGATCTTCCAGTATGAGACCTTCATGAGGCATGCTAGGCATTATCTGGAGCCTGCTATTATCCACAAGTGGAAAACTGATCAGCTGAAGATTTTCCAGCAACTACACCACCAGGGGGGAAAGGTCACAGTTGCAGGAGATATGAGAGCAGACTCTCCAGGTAAGCAGAAACAGACAAGACAGTCTAGTGCCAGAGTTACTGGTGTATATTACAATTCATCGAACTTATCCATTGAAATTCTGTTAAAGTCTTGAAACCTCCTGTATTATATTTTCTTCAGGCCACTCAGCTAAGTTTGGGAGCTACACACTAATGTACCTGGGAAGCAACACCATTGTGGACTTCCAGCTTGTTCAGGTGGGATTCTCTTTCTGGGTGTAATTTTAGGCGTGCTGGCTGTTGATGCATGCTTCAGTGTATTTATGCCCTATTTCTTATTTACCAACAGAGCAATGAAGTAGGTGGTAGTTACCACATGGAAAAGGAGGGACTCAAAAGATGCCTAGATCATCTAGATCAGGGAACTCCTGGCGTATCCGGCGGACCACACACGACGGGATGACCACTCTGATTCCTCGTCCCAAAAAGCCCCAGCACCAGCTTACGAAGCTGCGATAGGCCAGATGCCTAAAACGCCTATAAGAGGAGGAATGGATGATAACATATATGTGCTGTCCTGTTTTTCACCCTTACCCTCTGGCTGCTTGAACAACTGAATTTCCCCACAGGGATTAATAAAGGTCCATCTTATCTCATACAGTGTATATATACACATGATCAATTTGTACATTTATCAAAATAAAGTTTGATGGAACTACTTGATAGCCTTTCTTCCCTGAATTATTTGCTCCTAGATCATTCATATATAGCAAACCATTATTTGATTTTTCATCTAATACAGTAGTAGTTTATTATAGCTAAAAATAACTTACTCTTCTTCAGTTCTACAACCGATACATATTGTGGAGGTTCTGCAGGGTGTAGGGATTGAGGCAGTTTGGTTCTAGTCCGGGGTGGTCAACCATGCACACAATGGGTTCTGGGACTTGGTGCATTCGTGTTAAAACCTATAGGAGGATAAGATATTTGTAACATAATACGTTTAGCAATTAAATCCAACTATGGCGATGTTTACAAAATAAACATTACATTACTATAGAATAAATAAAAGGGCATATAGTCTATTGACTTGACAAGTATGTATAGTGTATATAATGTTGTGTGCTACTGTTGGTGTTTTTGTATTTGTTGTGGTGACACCCTGTTTTGACCATAATTCACCTTTGGTATAGTGTTGCCACACGGACCCTTTAGTGTGTGCTCTTAGGTTTAGCTTGTCATTCCTAGCTTGTCAGACAGAGCAGACATGTATTTTATCTGATTCTAAACACACCGCCCCCGACTCCCTTTCATCGGCACTACACTGTCACCTTTCTAATCTCCCTGCAACAGAGGTTTTCCACCTCGGTAGGCATTACTGCGCAGTTTCCACATGTGCACCTAAATAACAACAGTTGGAAAGTTTGGTTAGTCAGCGGACACACTTGTTACTGTGATGTAGATAAATGATGAAGTTCTAACATTACATCTGAAATGTAGCAGCTATACAAAATTAAAACGTTCCACTGTGAAACCGCCTGCTGTATTCTTGTTTGGGACGGTGGATCAGGTCCATCACGGTCCGTTTCACTCTCAGGGTCGGACTCCGGTTCGTACATATATGGCTTTACTGACGCCATTTCATTTCTGCTACTCCGCTCAGAGCCGATAAAACACCGTGGGCTAAGTACCCGACAAACCACTTTACGGCAGATGTCAACAGGGGCAGAGCCTCTCTGGTGGTTGACAAATCAGAACAGAGGGGCCGAGCTGACCAATCGGAGCACACTGGGCTCACAGGGAGGGGGGGGCAAGAGCTGCAACGAGCCGTTTAGTGGAGAGAGTGAATTCACGTAGTTTACAGAGATGCTGTATGCGAAACAATGTGAGTTTGGAAAATTGCACAGTATAAATCTATTCTAGTAGACCTCAACAATGTAATTATGATTATGTGGAAATGGCCATGACATGGGACCTTTAAGACCAGTACAGGACATTCACTAAGAAACTACTTTTATTGTAAAAACAGTCAGCTGATCGAATGCAGCTATTTCCACATCTACACTCCATCAGCTGATTATTTCTATTTGCCTCACTTTATGAGCTTCACAACATGTACCTTGTTTTGCAACGTCACAAATAAATGGGGCCAATCTTCAGTCAGATGTGAATGTGTAATCTAATATTTTCAGTAAGAATAATGGACAAAAGGAGAGCAAATACAAATACAATGTATTGAAATGTGAACCAAAAGCACATATGGACAGAAGGTGTAAACCTATTAAATGTATAAGTAAACACATTTAGTCAAATAAAGTGACAGACTAGGCCTGTGCAGTTGGTATCAGCTTTGCCCAGCATGGGCTCCTCCATCAGGCCTGGTCCTCCTCGCAGAGGGAAGACCCTCAGTCCTCTCCAAACCAACAGACAGGACGTCCATCACACCGAGGTTTCTCCCTGAAGTCTCTCCTGCTCTCTGGACACCAGACTGTCTCAATCCGTCCACACTGAATATGAGAGGGGGAAAATGAAAATTATTATTATTATTATTATTTATAGTTTCATGTCCGCTTACCTTAGAAACGTAAAATGCGACGGCAGCGTGCAGATGGGGAGCATGTTAGCTTAGCTTGGTAGCTTCAGCTAGCTCTGGAACTTTCAGCTCGGTGGCAGGAGGTCCTGCCTCGGCTCCGCCTCTTTGCCCTTATTTGGAGAAGGCGGGAGTTGAACTCTAACGTCACTGTTGAGCCGTTAGTGGCCGACTCCGCCTACTAAGGGCTTCACGGCAACTCTGCAGAATCCTATGGGTGACGTCACGGACCCTACGTCCATTTATATATACAGTCTATGGTTGCGGCTCGCCTCGAAAGTAGACGAGAATAGCCGATCGCAGCCGGGGGAGGTCTCAAAAAGCTCGCCTGAAGTCGGACAGCTCGGAGTCGGCTACGTCTTCTTCTTCTTCGCCTTCTTCTTCTTCTTTTCTCGGTTATTTGGCGGATTGCAAACAACTTTAAGGTGCATACCGCCACCTCCGGAGTCGGCTTGACTCGGTTTGCATTTATAAAGAATGCACACGTGTTTAATCGTTAATGTCAGATATGTACTAAGTAAATACATGTGTTCCTGCTCAAGATTAGATTCAACTTTATTGTTATTGCACATATTACAGGTACTGAGACAACGAAATGCAGTTTAGCTTTCAACCAGGAGTGCAACAAGCAGTAAAGTGAAAAGTAATGTACACAATCTACAGAATAAAATATAGAATGAATTGAATGATGAATAAACAGTGAGGGGTATGAATACACTAGATATACACAGCAGCCTGTGAGTATGAACAGTGTGTATGAATATGCTTAGATATATAAAGTATGAAACGGTAAGCAGTGCAAGTATAGTATAAAATATATAGATATTCATTTCATGATGATAAACATTGTGGAACAATGATGAAAAATGGGAATGGGATGTGGTGACGTAAAACTGACACAAAACAACAACAAACTTTTGCCGAGCCAATTGGAGAGTTTCATCACCAGCACGTGGTAAAAACTACCAATGAGCGCTCAGCTCGAGATACCAGCGAGTCGTTTCCCATCAAGCATTTGGCTTCCGCAGCCCGTGGAGAGCAACTGCGCTGCCTCGCCGCGCCTCGCTCTCAAAGCTGCGGGCGTCTTTGTCCCGCGAGATTTCAACGTCTCATGTAGGCGAGCCTCCAGAGCAAGTCGGACAAAATGACTAACCATCATGCAACGCACTAGCAAGACGTTGATCGCAACTGCGCAGGTCTCGCTTGTCTCAAACAAGCCTATTAACAAATACCGGAAACAGACCGAAAACATTTAAAAAAAAAAAAATAATAATACTTTATTCCGAGTGCTTGCTTTTCTCTTTGAAAGTCATCACATAACGGCATTGTAATACACGTTTCGGCTGCATTAAATATTACATATCTGCCGTAGTTCTGTATTTATAGAGCCCTGATGAGAAGACTTCTAGACAAACATGAGGAACTGAAAACGTGACGTGGATCATAAATATATCAGCCATTAAACAACATCTTACATTTCTTTTCACGCAATACGTCTCCTTGCAGTATCAACACTAATTCGGCTGACTTTTATATTTGATCCAATTGGTAGATAGGCTGTATTTACACCATAAAGGTGCACAGCTGATATAAAGGGACACCTAGTGGTTAAAGCATGTTATTGAATTTCATTATTTTTATTATTAGATATGAATAGGATCCCTATAAAGTATATTCATTACTCGTTATTCTCTACTAATAGTTAATTAAAGACTGTATATAATGACTATTTTTCACATCCCTTTCAAGATTTTCTAAGGTTTATTGACATATCATATAGGCCTACACAACTATGGTGTAGTTATGCATTGAATGAAAAACTTGGGTCGCAGGTTCCTCAATAGTGCATTACAAGACATCTATCAATATTTGTGCATACCTCCAGCAATGTTAACTATGTTGAAGCACTTATTTTAACTGATATTATACATAATGTATTATACTCTTATAAGATGTATGTAGATATTTCATCTATTTCATACCTTGTCAGGTAACTACGCAAGAAATACAACTTGAAGTGGTTACCTGTTACAAATACTTGGGTATCTGGCTTGATGACTGTCTCACTTTTAAACTTCATGTCAATAACCTGCTTAAAAAGCTGAGGGTTAGGCTAGGTTTCTTCTACAGGAACAAGTCCTGTTTCTCGCTTGAGGCCAGGAAAAGGCTAGTCACTGTGACCTTTTTACCTGTGCTGGATTATGGTGATTTGTTATATATGAATGCACCTGCCAATTACCTGAGCAAGTTAGATGCTGCGTATCACAGTGCACTGAGATTTTTGACAAATTGTAAAGCACTTACGCATCACTGTACCCTGTATACCAAGGCGGTTATGCCATCACTTACTGTACGGAGGCTCAGTCACTGGTACTTTTTCATTTACAAAGCCATGTTGGATAAACTACCATCTTATATCTGCTCCCTGATCTCTCTGCGAATTGAAAGTACTTATTGCCTGAGATCGCATGCTGTGGTTTTATTAAATGTGCCAAGTGCTAGGACTGTCTTAGGGAAGAAAGCTTTTAGATGTGCAGCTCCACTAACATGGAACAGTCTGCAAAAAGAATGGAAAATTACCAAGCTAGTACCACTACATGTTTTTAAAGCTCGGTTGGATGCTACAAAATCAGATGCTGTTGGTACCTGTACTTGTGGTTAAATATGTAAATTGTAATCCCTGTACATTTTGCTGTATGATGTATTTTTGTTGTTCTGTTGTTTTTGTCTTCTTGTGGAACCTACTGCTGCAGGTCTCCCTTGAAAAAGAGATCATTGATCTCAATGGGATTTTACCTGGATAAATAAAGGTTTTGAATTGAACAATCAATAAATAAAGAACACAGAATTGTTAAATATAAAACACAGAATTT